TTTTTTTTTCTTCTGTCCTCAGTTTGGGGATGAAACAGAGAGATTCTTACGTTTTCTCTGACAATTGAAAACAGACACGTTTAAAGCATGTTCAGCAAAATAACCTCCATCCAAGGCTATGACATCCATCCATCACTGTATGACATCCGTACAGAAAGCCTTAAAACATTACGTAGTTAGTATGTTTAGTAAGCCTTTCTTGCAAGAATAGTGGTGTTGTTTTAGTGTTTATTATCCTTGTGGGGACATTTGGTCCTAACCAGGCTTTGAAATTAAATTGTATACTGTTTTCTTTTAAGTAACTGGGCCATTCAGAACTTCTACGTGCCAACATATAAAAAATAAACCAGATGATCAAAGTTACAGTTAAGATTTAAATCATTACAAATCTGATTCTTTTCAATCATTGTTTGCATAAAAATTCTACAAACTATATCCTACCTATCGCAAAGTTCTCCAAATTCATCATATTAATACCTCTTCTCCATTGACATCCATTCAAAAGAAGAAAAATATTGCATCATGTTGACAAAATTAAATTCCAGCATATAATTTCATGATTTCTCTCATCTCCTCACCAGAATATAGCTATGCCATATATAATCATAACCCGTCCAGTGAACTGACAGTGTGACCACGGTTAATTTTCACTGGCACTGTTCATTTCAAACCCCATAATGTTTATTCTACTGATTTTCTGTCTTATTTGTATGATTACGGAGTGATCATATAGAAACCAACCAGTTGAGTGAGCTATAGAGCACACGAGACAGGTTTCTCAACATTAGCCATACGGCAGCAGGCGGAAGCAATCTTCTCTGAGTTCATCTCATGCCATAAACTCTGTCTTATTAACTCACATGCTAATCAAATGTACTATGGATTCACTCCAGCAGTTCCTGTTTTGCAAAACTCCAGAATCCCCCTGTGGTGGAGGAACGAGCTCTGGAGATGCAGTAAAATGATTAGCATATGGGAAACTAATTACTCTTGACTGATTGTGTGATGAATGGCACGACCTGTAAATGATTATATTGTGATTTGTTAATTTAATAGTTTGATAAATTAATGTATATGTGTATTTGTCATGCCTCCACCAGGCTCTGCTTCTTCTCACTTGCATCTGTAACCATTCACATGCACAACCAAACACTGCAGATATATATAAACCCTCCAGCGCCACACAGTCAGTGACTAACTCTACACTCAACAGTAGTGTTCCTCACCTCTACAGTCCTCTTCTTGTTTACTGGATCTTCCCAGGAGGTGTTTACACAGCAGAAAACGTTTTATGAGTTTGGGATATGCATAATAGGCTACAGAGTTTTCAGTCACGATCCTTTTGAACGGGGATCGTTTTGACAACGTTGTCGTCTGTATGCCAAACTATAACGTCCCCTGTGGGACAACGAAACACATGCTTGTTATGAATTGCATCAACACATTCCTGAAGACAATAATAATGTGTGAAATCACGCTTGCACAGCTAGAGAGGTGTTTGCGTCCCATTATTACGGGGGCCTGCCCGAGTGTTGCATGGACTGCATGAACTTTGCAGACATTGTACATGAAACAATGTTCAACCCAAATGGTAAAAGTGGGAAAATATAAGCTTGCTGTTCTTGTGAGTCACTCGGGACAGACCAAATCACTCCCAGGCCCACGCCAGCATGTTTTCGGAGCCTCTGGTGGACCTGTGTGCCCAGCTGTGTGCTGCGGTCGACCCGTGCCAAGCTCTTGATTGAAGCCCGTGGATCCATGTGCCAAGAATCACAACTGCTGGAATGCCTGCGCTGGAACGGCTCGGCTCGCTCCATTCCTCTCTAAGTGACCATAAAAGGCTGAGAGGATCGTTCAAAAGAAACCGGAGCACATGCAGAAGGAAAAGCTGCAAAGCCGTTTCTTGTAATCTAAGGTAACGTGAACAAAGGTTTGATGGAGGCTCACTTCCGAACACGTCACGTGAGAGATTTAACACTCTATTCGTGCTGAACGTTCATCAAATGCGAGAATGCATATTCATCTGGCGTTTCGGTCACGAGGAAGGTGCTTGAGAAGTTCGATGCAGATTCCTTCAAAATAACTTTGAGCCAAGTCAGGTCACTGTGCATCCATGTTGCCAAGGCAGATGTTTTCAGGACAACACAAGTGCAGCTCGAGAGTGGAAGCTTGACAGGTTAGCGCCGCTGCTGGCAGATGCCATAACTACACCTGCGGTGTGTAATTAGTCACATGACATTCACGGATCAGACGATTGGTTCAACAACTGTGTTGATGAGCAAACAAACGGCTAATCAGCTAACAGCTGTGAGTGACACATGCCTGACACAATAAACCAGACAAAAACGAGGAAGCATGGTCACCCTAGATTTAGAATATTTCAATCTTTAAAAAATGGCTACGCTTATGTTTTCTTTTAAGCTCTTTTTGAACCTATATGAATTATGTATTAAATCAATTACGTTGATTTGTATTGATATAGTCAAAAAAAAAATTTCAGCTGCCTTCTCAAAGATTCGGTGTTGTTTCCTGGCTGCGCATGCATTAAATCCAATTCAAGATATTTGTGATAGCTATTTTTAATCTTCTGCACAGAAGAGGATTGTTGTGTGTGATTGGCTGTTGGCTGCAGACGCTTTCAGAGTTAATCACAAACTCTGAAACAAACCCAGACAGAGAACATCAGTGACAGAGTGCTGGATTCGTTTGGTTTTGTCCTACTCTGTTGTCTAACAGGCCTCTGAGTAAAAATCACCAGAACAGCAGTTGATTCAAAGACACGGAGACATCAGACACACACTCGTTCCAGCATGTACAGAGACTCGCTTTCATAGTATTTAATGTGAGTACAGGCCTGGCTAAATGTGACTGAAGCAGCTAAATCATTCTGCTCACATTTCTCCACCGTTGTAGTTTTATATTTCATTTAGCAGTTTTTGCACTATTGTGATACTGATGTTTTTCCGTCTCTACATCTGTGATGCATGATCACCTGACTGTGATGCAGATGTGTGTGTGAAGAAACAATTCAGAAGACACTGACAAAAGCGCCACCTAGAGGCCAGTGTTGTACAATACAACACACGTGTGACACACAGAGACTTGGGAATGGACTCTTTTGACCACCTAGCAACCACCTAGAACTGCCTAGCAACCAGGACTGATGTTTATTCAGAGCGGCTTCGCTCTCTTCTGATGGACACGCCAAAGTTTAAAGAGTCGTAACTGGGAAATGGCTGAAATGCAATGTAATCAATTATAATTTTGTCATATTAACTGGTTGCAAAATGTTTAATACTGTGTTCTGGCAAACAGCTTGTCTTGCTGCTTGATATTATAAACTGCTGAGTCTTACCATATGTATGTAGCATGTATGCAGCTGTGTAAATGATAAATGTCCACAGAAACTAACACAATCAGGAGCAGAATGGATGAACTGGCCAAAAAGCCAAAGCTAGGAGACATTCATGGGTTCCCCGCACCGTGCAGGAGACCCGTGTGAGACTACATTAGTTCCCACTGAACCTCTGACCAAAACCGTGCTCGGGACCGGCTTCTCCGGCTGTACTATCTCAAGATCCTCAGCGGAAATACGTGGAAATCCTGAATACATGCTCACCTTATTTATACCCGTGCATCACCACTAACCCTGAAATTAGCCCTCAAGCAATGTATGCAGTGTGCCTAGTAATAATCCGCATGTTGTAAAGTAATTCATATTAATAAGCAATGACGTTTCTCTTTCGAAACATGTTTTGTGGCAGCCCTTGGAAGTCTAAAGGTCGAACGTTATGCTGTCTATGATCAGTGTAACATTAATATAGTTTACTGGCAAATATCATGTCACCATGTGCCACAGATATCTTCACGCTTTAAATAGCTCTAGTTTTCCCCCTGTTGCATCAAAATGTGGAGGTCATGTGTAAACATTAGGAAATAATGGTAAATACTGCGAGAGAGACATATACGAACTAATGAGTTGTGTGTCTGTGGCTTTTTTCTGATAATTATATTACGATTAAGCTGACTTCAATAGTGAAATATCATGAAATTCTTATTTGCTATTATCTAGGAAAAGACAAGAAAGGACAATTGTTTTGTTTTTAATTGTTTTGGGGTCCCTATACTATTATTATTATGATATTTGGTTTGATCATTTATTGTGTGGTCCAGTTTTAATCCAGTTCACCACAGATTCTGACAATAATTAATGTAAATAACTATTATGAAAATCAAACAGTTTATTACATTCTAAGAAAATTATTAACTAAATAAATATGAGAATATAAGCATGAGAAAATATAAAAAAAGACATACAGCAATTCTAACATTTGTAACTTTTTCAATGCTATTTTATGGTTGTGCTTTTGGAAATGACTCTTACTTCCTTAATTAGTCATATTATTCAGCATTTTAGGCTCATTTGGAGCGCGTGTGTTTTTGTTGCAAGTCTAATTGTGTAGTTTTATGTATGTATTTATGTATGTATGTATCAGGGTGTGCCTTCACCGGATCATGCACTGAAAACAGAGACGTCTGTAATTATAATTCTAACATTTGTAACTTTTTCAATGCTATTTTATGGTTGTGCTTTTGGAAATGACTCTTACTTTCATATTTAGTCATATTATTCAGCATTTTAGGCTCTGTTGCAAGTCTAATTGTGTAGTTTTATGTATGTATTTATGTATGTATGTATCAGGGTGTGCCTTCACCGGATCATGCACTGAAAACAGAGACGTCTGTAATTAATACTCAAAGCAGTTCTCAAAAGAGTGCACTGATATACACTCAGTTTAAATAGCATTTAATCTTGAGGAGCCTTCATAAGAGCCGAGGGAAGCTTTAGATTTGAATGAGCATATTACTTAACATAGTCACTAGCAGGACTAGTTCTTGGACTGAAATGAGAGCAGTAACTGACTAGAAAAGGTATGTCCAGTGTTAGCTGTGTGAGCGGTTAGTAGCGCCCCCTGCCGGCGCCGCAGGGAACTGCAGGTGTTTAACTGCTTCCTCGCCTGCTGCTCGTGTCCTATCTATCAGTGGAAGATGGCGACCAGAGTCCTTCAGAGCTCTTTCTCCGGCCTGTATCGGGCTGCACACACGGGCCGGGCGAAAGGACACGTTACCGCTGTTATCAGGTTTGATCTCAATTATTACCCGTCATAAACCTGCGTGCTGCGTGCTTCGGCGAAACTCTCAGCTCTGCGTGTGTTAGCGTGCATTAGTTAAAGACGTGATTACTGCTGCTCTCGGATATATATACCGACGCTTTCCTAATGCACTGACTGTGAGGCGTCTGCGCGAGCGGCTCAGCGCTCAGTGTTGCTTTGAGACAGACGCGCGTGACTCTCAAGGTCACCGTTCGGCACAGCGCGAGGGGTCTTCTGGTGAAGACACCGCGCGCTGTTTGAGCTGTTTGAGCAATGCAAGGCTTAGTGATTGATGACTGATGCATGCAGAGCTTCAGAAAGGCCTTATGATCACCTGACAGTGTGCTGTTATTATCTGTGCAGCAAGGGCAAACCATAAACGTGTGCATGGTCTTATGATGCAATGTAACATTCACGTCTGTGTATGTGTAATAATAATAATGCAGAAGTGGTCCTGTTTCAGGGGTCTGTCAGCATCTAATAACCGGAACCGAGAGGACAGCTGGTTCAAATCACTGTTTGTGCGGAAGGTGGACCCCAGAAAAGACGCTCACTCCCATCTGCTAGCCAAGAAAGAGGACAACAACTTGTATAAAATCCAGTGTAGGTTCTGCCCTCTGCTGTAAACGCTCTCAGCGTGCGATTTGTTCATTAACGCCGTTATATTGCTTGTGTTGTAGTTCACAACGTGAAGCCCGAGTGCCTGGAGGCCTACAACAAACTCTGGTAAGTCAGCCTCCTCCAGCACGAGTGAGCGAGGTGTTAATGCAAGAAACCAGACTGAGCCTTGTGTCCGCAGTGATGAGGTGCTGCCCTCCATCCACGCTGAGCAGAACTACCCGTGTGAGCTGGTGGGCACCTGGAACACCTGGTACGGAGAGCAGGACCAAGCTGGTAGGACCCCGCAGGAGTGTTCAGAGAGACGTTTCTTAAAGCGATAGTTCACCCAGAAATGAAGATGTGATGTTTATCTGCTTACCCCCGGGGCATCCAAGATGTAGGTGACTTTGTTTCTTCAGTAGAACACAAACTGAGATGGTTAACACAAACCGTTGCAGTCTGTCAGTCGTATAATGGAGGTGAATGGGAATCACGGCTTTGAGAGTCAAAAAAACATACACAAACAAAACCAAATTAAACCCTGCGGCTCGTGACGATACATTGATGTGTAAAGACACGAAACCGTTGGTTTGTGCAAGAAACTGAACATTGGACCGTTGACACTCTATCTACAATCTCAATTAGGAGGGTCCCTTCCATTATACGACTGACAGACTGCAACGGTTTGAGTTAAAAATCTCAGTTTGTGTTCTACTGAAGAAACAAAGTCACCTACATCTGGGATGCCCCGGGGGTAAGCAGATAAACATCACATCTTCATTTCTGGGTGAACTATCCCTTTAAGAGCTGAAATATAAAAGATAACTTTCATACGTCTTGAGTTACAGCTATGCAGACCTGAAAAGTGTTTTTTCCCACTTGTGAACGCACGTAATGTCACATAAAGCCATCAGATTTCTCTCAGTCTCTGTGAAGATAACATCACGATGCTGCCAGCTTTCTGAACTCATTTTCAGCCTTCTGTAATTTGTCGATTTCACCCCGTCTACCAAATAGTGGATTGCTCAGTAAATATTCATCCATGACATTTAATATTTTGGCTTTTATCGTTGTTTATGTTGGTCTCTTTTCAGAAAAAATATTAACAAAATTAACAATTTTATTGAAGGCAGTTTCTGAAATGTGGTTGATTTGAACGTGTGTATTATATGAGATGTTAGAGGTTTGTGTTTCTGTGAGCGCTGACACACTGTAACGTGCCTCTGGTTCACTACCTAGTGCACTTGTGGCGGTACAGAGGAGGATACCCAGCTCTGACTGAAGTCATGAACAAACTGAAGAACAACAAGGTAAACGACTGCACACTAGAAGATATTATGGGTTTGTGTGATCGATATACAGCCGTAAGTTCAGTGCACTCATATTCACTATAATCCACATCTCGTAACTCTTCAGCACTGTTCAAGGCGAGTGCTAGCATGATACACATGGTGAAAGTAGCAGGTTTTGTTGAATGGTTATGGTGACTTGATAATAATGAGCTCACGTCTGCAGGTGGCGCTGTTCACACACAATCACGCGACTTCATGTTATGTTTGAAACTATATTTACATTTGCTGAGGTTTTCAGATGTGATCCCACACTGTAGTGTTTTTACGGCAGTGTAAAGAGCGCTTTGAGCCCTGCACGCGTTCAGCTGTTGAAATGCTGTCTCAGAGCAGCTGCCGCTGAAGCGCTGACGTCTGTCGTGTTGAGCAGGACTTCCTGGAGTACAGGAAGGAGAGGGGGAAGATGCTGCTGTCCCGCAGGAACCAGCTGCTGCTGGAGTTCAGCTTCTGGAACGAGCCGGTGCCCCGAGACGGACCCAACATCTACGAGCTGCGCTCCTACCAGCTGAGAGTGAGTGTGTCCCGCACATCAGCCACACACCGAGAGTCAGAGCAGCGCTGTTTGACATGCAGCCGAGTGTGTGTGTGTGTGTGTGTGTGTGTAAGAGAGAGAGAGAGAGAGTGTGTGTGTGTGAGAGAGAGAGAGAGAGAGTGTGTGTGTGTGAGAGAGAGAGAGAGAGAGTGTGTGTGTGTGAGAGAGAGAGAGAGAGAGTGTGTGTGTGTGAGAGAGAGAGAGAGAGAGTGTGTGTGTGTGAGAGAGAGAGAGAGAGAGTGTGTGTGTGTGAGAGAGAGAGAGAGAGAGTGTGTGTGTGTGAGAGAGAGAGAGAGAGAGTGTGTGTGTGTGAGAGAGAGAGAGAGAGAGTGTGTGTGTGTGAGAGAGAGAGAGAGAGAGTGTGTGTGTGTGAGAGAGAGAGAGAGAGAGTGTGTGTGTGTGAGAGAGAGAGAGAGAGAGTGTGTGTGTGTGAGAGAGAGAGAGAGAGAGTGTGTGTGTGTGAGAGAGAGAGAGAGAGAGTGTGTGTGTGTGAGAGAGAGAGAGAGAGAGTGTGTGTGTGTGAGAGAGAGAGAGAGAGAGTGTGTGTGTGTGAGAGAGAGAGAGAGAGAGTGTGTGTGTGTGAGAGAGAGAGAGAGAGAGTGTGTGTGTGTGAGAGAGAGAGAGAGAGAGTGTGTGTGTGTGAGAGAGAGAGAGAGAGAGTGTGTGTGTGTGAGAGAGAGAGAGAGAGAGTGTGTGTGTGTGAGAGAGAGAGAGAGAGAGTGTGTGTGTGTGAGAGAGAGAGAGAGAGAGTGTGTGTGTGTGAGAGAGAGAGAGAGAGAGTGTGTGTGTGTGAGAGAGAGAGAGAGAGAGTGTGTGTGTGTGTGAGCGAGAGAGAGAGTGTGTGTGAGTGAGTGAGTGAGTGTGTGTGTGTGTGTGTGTTAGTTATCGTTGCAGTTGTATATAATGTTTTGGAGTGGTGATGGAAACACTGAAACGGTCCGTTTGAGATCTTGCCAAACTTTCTTAATAATAACACACTCTTTAGTTGATCAGTTTTCTAGTGTTGCTTCATTTATATGGCCAGCAAAACCAAAGTGACCAGACTGTAGGTGTTACACATCACCAGTCCTACAGGCTGGCCGAAGGCTTTTTGAAATGAATTCAGATTCACGGTGGTCCTTTTTCTTGTCTCCTGCAGCCCGGGACCATGATTGAATGGGGCAACTATTGGTGCAAGCAATACATAACTCAGAAGATTGAATTATAAAATGTTAAGAGCTCAAAATACAATTGAAATGAAGTGTTTTATATGCATGCACTGCTGTAATGTAGCATATTTAATGCTTTCAAGCTCATTATTCAATGCTACAGAACGTGTTCAGATCAGTTCAATCTCACAAATGTAGGACTGTTGCGATCCTCAAGTTCTCATGCTAGATTCCTGAGTGTTTATGATTTCAGAAGTCATTATGATGTGATGTTACACACACTGTCTATAATAGAGAACTGCATTGCTCATGACGTCATAAAAGTGAAGAGCCTATGGGTGTTCCCTAGTGCTGCCTTACATTCTGCTGAATTAATAGGGAATCTAATTTTAGTGAGAAAGCATCACCTAACGAGTCAGCGGTTTTAGATCTGAAGTACGTTCGGACGACGCAAACCTCCCGAGCATGTAATTAGTCACTCGTTTAATGTCGGGAATTTCACTTCCGTATTAAAAATCTGAATAAAGATTTATGCTTTGTATTTATGCGTTAATTCACCTTTACATTCACTGTTTATGTAATTGTTGTTATAGAGCTTTTATTCATACAGTAGGCTAACTGCAAATGTTTCAATGATTTTGTTAACAGCATGCGTTTTGAAGCAGTTAATGATTTAAATGAATAACTAGTAACATGCATAACATTTCACTGCTGTGGCAACTGTGATGATATAAAGGCCAAAGATCCGAGAGCTGTTCACATTCATCACATGCCATCCAGCAGCTGACTGAAGCGCTCTCCGCTCTCCTTCTGGTGTAAATACAGCTTTCTTTAGTGATTGACTTCACAGTAGCTCTAACAATGGAAAGAGCGTGCCTTCAGTCCCCAGCCAATGCATGAGCATGAAAAACATAAAGCCTGAATGCGCGTCAGTGTTGATTTTTCATCATTTCATTCCTGGTTGAATTCATTCATTGCTGTGAGCAGGCCTTTATAAAGAGCTGTGCGATCTTCATCATTCAGAAGTGTGTGATTATTGTTCCTGTTCCTCAGGGCCAGAGCCATCAGCTACCGGCAGCACAACCGCGAGGCAGTGGGCGGCTTCTTCTCTCAGATAGGAGACCTCTACATGGTGCATCATCTCTGGGGTGAGAGATCACATGCCGCCAGACAGACTCCCAGAAGTGCTCAAAGTCACGTTTACTTCTATAACGCTTCCTGCAACACAGACCGCTTCAAAGCAGCTTCGCATTAATAAGAGAATCAATGATGCAAACCTCTGATGTGTGTAGTGTTGTCCATCTGTTTCAGCGTATAAGGACCTGCAGTCCAGAGAGGACACGAGGAACGCCGCCTGGCAGCACGAGGGCTGGGATGAAGTGGTCTATTACACCGGTAAACACACGCCACAGCTACATCTCTGCCAGCACTAGATGCATTTAACTGAAGTCTTCTCCTGGTCTACTAGTAGAAGTCATTCCTGTTCATAAGTCTGCATGCATTTATAGACGAAGTGACTTTTGCTGCTCTAAAACAGCATGAGAAGTCAGATTTAGTGTCAGTATTTCCATTTGATTAACGCTGATGTCTAATGATTTTGTTATATTTCAAAATGACCCGTAAGGTTGTGTGTGTTTGTGGTGTTTTCAGTGCCGCTCATCCAGCACATGGAGTCCAGGATAATGATCCCGCTGAAAGCATCTCCTCTCCAGTAATGCATCCATCCAAATCATCCCCATGAGCTCCAGACCAGACCGAGACATCGGATACTGCCGTGATTATCTCTTGATGCCACCCAACGTCACGCACAACACACTTGCTCGGACCGTAATAACTGCACCAGCAAACCCAACTGAATTTGTAGGAATGAAGGGTAAGTTTTGAGAATCTTTCTTATGACGTAGACATATCTGAAATCTGCTGCTTGCGTGAATCTGTATATCGCTCGGCCGAGATCTGTTAAATAAAGTTTCGTTGGAATATGTAAAGGACATAAAAGTGCATTCAATTAGAGTATTAACCCCCTCTGGTCTGGTGGCCGCTGCATCTGTGATTCGCCAGATCTCAAAACACCCTCATATTGGAATGCCTTAGTTAACGCAGACGAGTATGAACGGACTTCTGTCAGAAAGCAACCGTTTGCCGTTCACCCTGCTGCAATCTACTCATGTATTTATTGCATATTTATAAGCTGTAAATATAAACCCCCACATGGAGACTGTTTCATGTTTTAATAACCTACATATTCAGATCAGTTATTAACAGGATGAGATCTAAATACACTGTTGGTTACTAAATAGCCCTCGTTTAAGCAGATCTGTGCAACTGGAGCTGGACAAGCCTCATCGGGGACGGGTTGTGGTTTTTTTTTAGTTGCTGTATTTTATTTTATAATTCTTCTGTTTCTACATAGACATGTTTTTGTGTGATCGCAGCATGCTCCGGCTACTGTACGCTGATCTGACGGGGATTTAACAGCAACCAATACTGTAATCAATAAATCATAAATCTACCACACTGTGTCATGTTAACGCCGATAAAAGCTGTTACTTGTTTATTCTCTCTTGATCAATATTAAAAATGCTCTTTTTCAAATATGCATACTGAAGTAGACAGTTGTTAGCTTAGAAACAGTCATGATATAGTGTTCTCTGGAAGTCTGACATCCAAACGCGAGTCTAGTTTCGTCAGTTAAAATGCTCACTGTACAGAACATCAGACCGCTGCTGGTTTGCATCATCTTCTATATAAACAATAGTTTCAATAATAAACTCTAGAGATATACGACCATTAAAAATTGTGCATTAGGAGAAACTAGGAAAGGCAGAAAGCTAGTGCACTAGCACAGAGTATGCTAAACTCCAGTCAGTGCTCTCTAGATCTTCTCCAACTCTTTAAGCAGCTCTCCGAAGCTGGAGACGTACCACGAGGACTTCTCCTTCACCTGCTGCCGCACCACGTTCCCACCAAACCCAATGAAGGCGCTCTGAAAGCACAGGACAGACTGTAAGTACTGCAGCTCGTGCATCGGTCAGAGTATGACGTACTCACCGCAGGAGGACAGGCCTCCAGGTCCGTGGCTCCGTCTCCAATCATCACGATGTTTCTGAAGCCGTACTCCTCCTGCAGCATGCTGATGACCCGGCTCTTCCCGCCGGACTGTGCTGTGGGCTGAGACTCGTCGAAGCCGGCGTACTCTCCTGAGACACAGCACACGCGTGTTAGTCACTAGCCAGCACCAGCGGCCCGCGAGCCAGCTGCAGCTCTTACCGTTGAAGAAGAACTTGAGGCGGTTTGCGTAGACGTGATGGAGCGGGATGCTGAGCTGCGACGCCACGTGTTCAACGATGCAGCGGAACCCACCGGAGACGAGGAACACCTTCACGCTACGCTGATGAAGCTTCTCCACCAGCTCCCTGAGCACAGAAACACTCAGCATCGGGATAGAGTCGCTATAAAGTCTATAGTGATAGAGGCACTTGAACTCATGACAGTAAGACTGAAGTGTTAATGTCTCATCTTTTCTTGTCTTTATCAGAATTGAAATCCACCTTGTACATGTCCCGGGAACTTAAATTGGGAACTAAATGTCTTTTCCAACTTGAGAACCATAAACAGCCATAAAGAATCGATTATTACACAACATCTGAGTCAATATCACAGACCATAGCTGTTTTAGCATCCCTTGGCCACTGAGTGTAGTTTGGGCTCCTCAATGCATCCTATAAGTGCACACATCCAGTCTGGTTTTCTTCATTAGAAACATGCAGTTATATAGGTGTGGAGTTTTATCTTTAGCTCCTTGCATTCTTATGTCAATATATATATATATATATATATATAACAGAATATTGTGTATAGTGTAAAGTATAATATTTAGTATGCAGAGTATATATAGTATGGTAAGTATAGTGCATTGCATGTATAGTCTATATAGTGTAGTGTATATGGTGTTTAGTGAATATAATGTATAGTATATATAATAGTGTAAATTGTATATAGTGTATAGTATATATAGTGTTACAGTGTAGAATATATATAGTATAGTGTATATAATGTATAGTAGTGCATATTGTATATAGTGTATATTGTAAATAATGTATAGTATGTAGTGTATATTGTGTAGCCTATAGTGTAAATGTATAGTATGTAGCGTGTAAAGTGTAATGTATAGTGTATCTAGTGTAAAGTGTATAAATTGTGAATGTATAGGATGTAGCGTACATGGTGTAAAGTGTAAATAATATAGTTTTATACCTTAATAGGATTGTTGTAAACATTACTGGCACCTTATAATTATTGATTTTAAATATAATTTATTATTGTTATGGTTGTGTATTGTGACTTCGGCAGTGTTGTACATAAAATGAACCAATTTGAAGCATCTTTCCAGAAATGAGGATGGATACCAACTTACTTGATCCCTGGCGTCAGCTGAGGCGGGTGGTCAGTGATCAGCTTGTTGACTTGTTCCCTCGAGCACTTGATGATGGACAGACGCTCACTCAGAGCTGTGTGGAATGAGACGGAGCCGCCCATGGCCTTCAGAGTCCTGCAGACCAGAGATATGCCGTCACACTCCACACTAGACCAGCATCTGTACACTAGCTAGGCTGCCTGACCACACGTGTGTGTGTGTGTGTGAGAGTGAGTGAGTGTGTGTGTGAGTGAGTGAGTGTGTGTGTGAGTGAGTGTGTGTGAGAGTGTGTCTGTGAGAGAGTGAGTGTGTGTGAGAGTGAGTGAGTGAGTGTGTGTCTGTGAGAGAGAGAGAGTGTGTGAGAGAGTGAGTGTGTGTGTGAGTGAGTGTGTGAGAGAGTGAGTGTGTGAGTGAGAGTGTGTGAGAGTGTGAGTGTGTGTGTGTGTGAGTGAGTGAGTG